CGGACTATCACGGGATCTCTCTTGATGTCTTAAATCGAACACCTACATAGTGAGGCCCGTATGCTTCCGGTTAAGAAACACAACGAACTCCTCTCCAAGTAGTTTCTGCTGGGGTGTTTTCGTAGAAACCACCCCTGTAGTCACCTGCTTGTAGCGGAGCCGCCTCCTAGGAACATCAAGAGGTCTTTCCTTGATTACGTCGACGAAATTAGGCAGTACGTCTACCGGACTTCGGACGCTACGAACTTCAGACAGGCACTGACCGCAATTCACAGTGGAGCCATCAACACCTTCACCGACTCCCTCTCAGTGAATGGCGTAATACGAGTCAAACCACCACCCATAGCAGACGTAGAGCTCGAGTTGCCTCGCGAAACCAGAGTGACCCTCGCGCAACTTCGTTCTGGATACTGTAGCAGGTTAAACTCCTACTTATCCAGAATAGACCCCGACATACTAAACACATGTCTTGCGTGCAATAAGTCTCCGCATGACACTAACCACCTCTTTGCATGCTCAACAAACCCCACTCATCTAACACCCTTCGACCCCGTCGAAACAGCTCGTTTCCTGGGCCTCCCGTTAGATGACCTCGACGACAACGAATCTGGAATTTATCACCCAAATGGGGACTAGGTAACCGTTACAACAACAACAACAACAGCAGTGTTGGCCCTTACCTTTCGCAAGGTGGTCTGCTCCAAAGGACACAGCACATATTCATGATTTTCTTTAGATGCTGAATGTGATCTAAAAATATTTCAAAAATGCACAAGGTAAATTAATAAGTTCATTTAAGCATTGTGCAGCCATGCTTATCTGTGTAGTATGTTCACCCAAACTCTGCGCGACCAGAGCAACCACTAGTTTCGAACTCCTCCACTACATAATTCGCGCAAAGCGAGCCCCCCAAACACTGAAACAGTAGTGACGGTCGTTATTCTCAGAAACATCTCACACAACGCTTCACGATCGCCACACAATTTGTCCCATTCGAATTCGGGGCCCACTCAGTTCAGGCAACGCATTGCCGGTCTTGCTTAACTCTTTGATTACGCATCGAACGTTCATTGGACCAAGCGAATTTGAACCTCTTGTCAAATGCTTTATTAGATAATTTGACAATTGGTAAATTTTGAAACTCCACGGATTCACAAGCCAAACCGTCCTCCCCGTAACACAACTGAATCCCACCCCACCGATAGAGGTTGTGGTTCTGTGAATTTGTACTACCATCAATAACCCACACACGTCGCCAACCAACACCATGGTGCGACAACCGCCCATGCGGATAGCACAGCTGCAACAACCACCACCTACACGCACCCCACTCACCCCCAGGATCACGACTGGACACCCGCGACAAACGCGACTCTTACAATTTAACTGCAACGGACTCCAGAGCAAGATCGAGGAGATAGTTGCATTTATGAGCCGGGAGCGCGTAACGATAGCTGCGGTCCAAGAAACCAAGTTAAACAGCCGCTCAGATCTTCTGAGTTGTGCAGGTTTCAACGTTTTACGTAAGGATCGCGAGCGGGATAATGGTGGAGGCCTAGCCTTCATATTGCACAACACCGTGCAATATCGTCTAATCGATGTTGACATCGACCGCAGGGACACTACCCTAGAATGTCAGGGAATAGCTGTCCGGTCAGGCGATGTCAAGCTCGAAATATTTAATATATACATCCCCCCAGTTACATGTTGCCCAACAGGATATCACCCGAATATAGATGCGCTACTTCGTAGTGAAAACCGTCTGGTGCTAGGCGACTTTAACGCGCATCACGATCTTTGGCATTCCTGCCTGTCAAACGATCGTAGGGGGATGGAGCTGGCGGAACAGATAGACGATTCGACATTCTGCACAATGAATGACGAAGCCCCCACCTGGGCACCTGTAATAGCTCGCCAGATATTACCATCGCTAGCGGTGGTCTGATAAATAGTATAACCTGGCGACCTATGCTAACTCTTGCATCAGACCATCTGCCCATAATTATCTCGATCGAGAAACCTCCTGACTTTATTTCTGTGGATAACCGCACCTATGTTAACTTTAACAAAGCTAACTGGGTCGGCTTCACAGAATTTACTGAGAGCACCTTCAACGCACTATCCATTCCTACGGACGTCATCGTTGGCGAGCGTCAATTCCGCAAGGTGATCGCAGCTGCTACAGCTCGCTTCATACCGGCTGGAAGAATAGCGGAACTCCGCCCTAATTTCCCAGCCGAAGCAGCTGTATTAGCAAATGAGCGCGACACCTTACGTCATGCCGATCCCTGTGATCCCCGAATAAGGGATCTCAATTTAGAGATTCGGCAAATGGTAAACCATCATAAGCGGACAAAATGGATAGAGCACCTGAAGTCCTGCAACCTCTCCACCGGTGTGAGTAAGCTTTGGACTACTGTCAAGGCCCTGTCAAATCCGAGGAAACATGACGATCGGGTTGAAATCCAATTCGATGGCCATGCCTCCTCGGACCCGAAGAAGTGCGCGAGCTACTTTAGCCGGCAGTTTATACTGCACCCTTCGACCGACAAGGCCAAACGATGTGTTACCCGACGGTTGCGCAAAATGCCAAAAGACTGCGCACCACTTACTTTCACCGATGGGGAGGTTCAGAGTGTCATCAAAAAGGCGAAATCGTCTAAATCCATCGGCCCTGACGGAATAAACATGCTGATGTTAAAACATCTAGGCCCAACGGGAGTAAACTACCTCACCAAGGTCCTCAACCTGTCAATATCCACTCTTCAAATACCCGATGTGTGGAAAGTCGGAAGAGTGGTCCCACTGCTGAAACCTGAGAAACCCGCCAACAAAGGGGAGTCTTATCGCCCGATAACTCTCCTTTCCCCAGTAGTGAAGACACTTGAGGCCTTGTTACTCCCGTCATTCACCCACCACCTGAGCCTAGCAGACCATCAGCATGGTTTCCGTAAAGTGCACAGTACCACCACAGCACTTAGCGTCATAAACGCCCAGATAGTTCATGGCCTGAACCAGAAGCCACCCTGCGAGAGGACGATCCTCGTAGCGTTGGACTTGTCAAAAGCTTTTGACACAGTCAATCACGCAACGCTACTTGAGGACCTGGAACAATCAACGCTCCCTCCAGGGCTGAAGCGGTGGACCATGAACTACCTGAGCGGTCGACACTCATCCGTACTATTTCGAGGTCAAAACTCCAAACTCAGGAAAATTAAACAGGGGGTTCCGCAGGGCGGTGTCCTCTCCCCGCTACTGTTTAATTTCTACATTTCGAAACTCCCCCAGCCACCAGCGGGAATTTCAATGACCTCGTACGCAGATGACTGTACGATATTGACGTCGGGCAATGGAATCGATGGCATGTGTTCAAAAGTAAACGGCTACCTCTCCGATCTTTCTCGCTTCTTTTCTGCAAGGAACTTAACACTCTCCCCCACTAAATCCACAGCGACCATCTTCACCAATTGGGCGAAGGAGTACAGACTGGACCTGAACATTTCAGTCGATGGCACAAAAATTCCGACAGTAAATAACCCTAAAATTTTAGGCATCACTTTGGACTGTCTGTGCTCTTTCACTCCTCACACGACCGCGATAACTGCCAAAGTACAGAGCCGCAACAAAATCCTCAAGTCGCTTGCCGGCAACTCATGGGGAAAGGACAAAGAAACGTTGTTGGCAACATACAAGGCAATCGGCCGGCCGGTCCTCAATTATGCAGCCGCAATATGGTCGCCTGGATGCAGTGACACGCAGAATAAGAAGCTTCAGACTTGTCAGAACACTGCACTCCGGACTATCACGGGGTGCCTCTTGATGTCCCCAATCGAACACCTACATAGCGAGGCCCGTATGCTTCCGGTTAAGGAACATAACGAGCTCCTCTCCAAGCAGTTTCTGCTGGGATGTTTTCGCAGAAACCACCCCTGCAGACGCCTGCTTGCAGCGGAGCAGCCTCCTAGGAGCATCAAGAGGTCCTTCCTTGACTACGTCGACGACATCAGACAGCACGTCGACCAGACTTCGGACGCAACTAACTTCAGACAAGCACTGACCGCCATTCACAGTGGAGCCATTAACACCTTCACCGACTCCCTTTCACTGAATGGCGTAATACGAGTCAAACCACCACCCATTGCAGACACAGAGCTCGAGTTGCCTCGCGAATCTAGAGTGACCCTCGCGCAACTTCGTTCTGGATACTGTAGCAGGTTAAACTCCTACCTATCCAGAATAGACCCTGACATACTAAACACATGTCCTGCATGCAATGAGTCTCCGCATGACACTAACCACCTCTTTGCATGCCCAACAAACCCCACTCATCTAACACCCCTTTCCCTATGGTCCGACCCCGTCGAAACAGCTCGTTTCCTGGGCCTTCCGTTAGATGACCTCGACGACAACGAATCTAGAATTTATCACCCAAACGGGGATTAGATAATCGTTATAACAACAACAACAACAACCCACACACTTTGCCAAGTTTCTCTTACACATATTCGTACATAGGCATTTACTTCTTTTGATTATATGCTAAAAGGCAATTAAACACTTTATTTAATGTAATAATTGCACATATTTCTTTGGCGTTGCGATTTGGTGGTATGGATACTGAAGTTTCTCCAGATTAAGAACTCCAATTAAATCAACTTGGAATAAGTCCAAAAAACCTAAAGCAATTCATAAAATATAGGGTGGCGGACGAATCAACTACAAAAACAAACCATAACTTTTTTTTAATCAGTGCATAACATTTATTTTTTTATTGTATTGCAAATTTTATTTTATTTTATATAATTATTTTATATAATTATTTTAAAAAATTATGGTCCGTAAATGACCTCCATGCTTAGCTACGCATATGCGACACATAATTAGAAAATTATTCATTGCAACCTGAAAGGTTGAAGTCGGGATTGCCTCAATTATCGATTTCCTTTGGACGGAAATGACGGACTGCAAAGCATGGTACCGCTGCACTATCCAAACACTCTCTTCGGTATCCCAAGCATTCATTTTTAAAAAATTTATATAACCTGTCAAAAAAAAAAAAGAAAGTTGATTACACACACAAGAAGAAAGGTATTACGGGTTGTTTTTGTAGCACGATTCGTGCTCCACCCGGTATAGGTGGTTGAATATAATATGCAAGATATTATATTATAAAATTTTAATATAACCATAATTACCAATTGGTTTCTTACTATTAACTTTTCCTATATAATAAGTTCTTGTTGCTTAATATTGTATTGTGCTGCCAGAATGGTTTTCGTTTACTTGTTTCCTGTTTTGAAAATGGTTTAATTTAAAAAACATTTATGAAAATTAACAAATAACCAAAATTCACAACTTACCTGACGCTCTTAAAATTTTTCTTCAAATGGCAGATTCAATTGCGGCAATTTTCGACAGATTCATTGTCTATGCATCTTTCTTAAACATTCAACGATGTGTATGATATGTAGTGGTGTAAGTGGGCTTTTACACACAGACTCTTTTGTAACCCAAACCGATTTATTGTTGGCAAGGGGACGACGAGGAAAGACGAAGAGACCGTGCCACTAGTGTTCGGGTGGCACGTTTTGTGTTCTTGTTCGTAACAGCTCGCTGCTACCCTTTTCAGCATTCCTTTTCACTTTCAAATTCTTTGAACGGTTGCAAGAGCGCCCGGTTTCAAATGAATCCGTTCACAAATTTGAATTCTGTTATCTATTTTTTGTATGTAATATGCAAATATGTATGCATAGAATAATAGAAATAATTTGAAAAATTGTAAATAAGGAGAAAATTAAGATACTCAACATTCAATTTACATTTTTATAACACATAGCGGTATTAAATGTAATAATGTACCAGTATACATAAAAGAATTCTAATAAAAATGGTAACTTTACTTTTTTATATTAACATAAAAAATTAAGATGCTTTCATATATATTTCTTTTAACCGCAAAGGAGTTGGTTCGAATATTATTTTATATTAAATGAGAATTGTAATTAGTTCAAGGATGTTTTATAATAAATAGACAAAATATGGAGAAAAGAAATTATGAATTTTTAATACTTAAAGATTAGGAAATTCCTGTTATAAATTTGGTCTTGAAAATATTAGTAGCGGGTATTCAATACATTCTGGTGGATTAGGGAACTCCCGTCTAAGTATACATGCTAATTCATTGCAAGTAAAATGTGGGACCACCATCCCAACACACAAATTAACTATGTAACACACTCTAAGTGTCACGTAGCCAAACCGCACAAACATTTTCGAAAATTTTATGAAAAGGAATGACAGCAAACTCGATTCGAGTTGCTGGACTCTTTTTGCTAGTGTGAATGCACAGAGTGACACCAAAAGAGAATTAGCCAAAAAGCCCACTAAGGGTGTTTGTTGTGTTATTAATTTTATTCTTAACATTCATTTTTACTTAAATATAAAACAAAAATATAATAATTCCCATAAAAACTGTACAAAACTGTACAAAACTGTTAAAAAATTATTAGGAGTAATGAACAAATTATTAAAAAAACTATTGTGAACGACTTAATTACAAGAAGGGAAAGAACGTCATTTGTTTTGTTATTATTTTGTTGTTTAATAGTAGTTATATATTGAAGCGAGTGAAACAAATAAATTAAAAAGTTATTTAAACATGCCGCGACAACTTTGGGGTAAAATGAAAGAAACATCGGTAAGGGAAAATGAAACCGAAAAAATGGTGCCTGTAGCAGCAAAACGCACAAAACTCGAAGAAATGCAGGAGAAATTACCGTCCATCACAAACAAAAGGTACAACTCGTTGTTTTTATTTATCATTATTGCAAAAATTCTTGTTTTTAGTGTGGAACTGCAGGTGAAAAATCCCTTAGTTACACAAACAATAGAAGTTATGAAGCAAACAGAAATGTTGCAATCGCTTATTGACACCTATTCCAACAAATCGGTAATATCATACATGTATACCTTGTATTATGGATTTTAACTTGAGTTTACAGGGCACATCGAATTATTTGCTAAATCCTTGTCAAATGATACCTGAGGTTGACTTCCCACCTGAAAATGCTGCAGATTTTATCAATGATGATAAATTTGCTAAGCCAATATGGTTTATACCGCCAATTGAAAGCAATTTTGCGCGCGGTGTGCCACAGGAATATCCTCAAATAAACCCCAAAATATGCCGTGCTGCTTTACGAAAGGCAGTTTGTGGACAACTTCGTGTATGTGGTTTCACAGATATTTCTGAATCGGCCTTAGTGCTATTCGCTGATGCAGCGCAAGAATTTATGCGTAACTTTATGCAACGGATACGCGAAGTACACGCTAATAATCCACAAATTGAAATGGAGAATGAGGTTGAAGTGAAAAGCCTAGAAAAGGCTTACTATTCTTTGACAAATGCGTCGTTAACAAATGTGCATAATTATTTTAAACATCAATTGGTCGCACGAAATCGTAGTGAAATTGCAGAATTCAATGGTGTACTTCAAGAGTATGATAAACTAATGAAGGAGAGTCAAAGTATGCAAAAGGAAGAATTTCAAGAAGGCGATTTCCTAAATATACTTGAAATGCCGGCATCTAATGATCATAATGTCGGCGTTTTGAGTAGCGGCATGCAGGACATCTCCAATTCTGGAGGTGTTAGTGCACAAAGTGGTGTTGGAGTACTAAGCATGCTAGAGGGTCAGTCACACATGTCTGTACAGCACACAGGATATACCGGTAGCACAATGGATTTGTAAATAACTATTAAGTAAATACTTAGGCATTTAGTAATTAGTCTTTTAAAGTTTATTTCTCCTAATTAAAGAAGATAGATATAAATTATACTAATCTTAAATTTATTTTTTGTTTTATCTTTGTTTCATTCCACTTATTTTTACTACGCAGCTTTGTAAATTCATTTCCAACTGGTTTGAAATGGAGAGTACCAACGGCATCACTTTTATAGTGAAAATATTTTTCCGTTCGTTCGGGCTTTGACGCCCAACCGGATATCAGTTTTCCACTGGTGATGTCTTCAGCAGTTACTGATGCCAAGTTAAAGAGTTCTTCTGAAGAGTATTCGTTTTCTTCACCGTCCACTTTTCGTCTCTTTATCGTAGGCCGCTGTGTTGGGCCTTGCGTTTCGAATTCAAATTCTTCATAGGGCTTGACATAACAATCTGTTCCTGCGAGTAGTGTAACACGGTTTCTGCTCGTTCTTTGAATTTTTGACGGAGTTTCAATATTAAAGAACTCAAAATTTTTCGCTATCAGTTCCGAAAGTTTCTTTCCGAGAAATTTCTGTGTTGATTCAGTTGCGATGAAGTCTACATTAGCTTCCAAGTTATCCTCTAGCAAATAGCGGTTCGTCTTAGGACCTACAAGTGCAAACGTCTGTAAAATATGCCCGTATATGTTGATTTACAGTAAGTAACCTTTTTGTTCTAAAACTAATTGATGCAGTTTTTCAGTATCCAAAATCATTGTATTTTGTTTTTCGGTTTGCTGAAACATAGTGTTCGTAAACAAAGTGCTGTCCGCTGCTTCCAAGAACTGACGCATTTGTTCATCATCTCCATCATCGGAATCGCTCGAAGCCGTGCCAATAGTTTTTGATATCATAATTTTATTTTTATTTAATTTATCAGCCATTTTTGCCTCAACTTTATGTTTATTACAATGATCACAACAAAGCACAAAAATTCACAATTGATTGTACCTAGTCAGCTGTTTTGCTAAAATTCATAACTTGTATAAATAAATATTTAAACAGAAAAATATATTTATATATTTAGGAACTATGTGTCATTTCAAACACTAAAATTCTACTTTTAATTATTATGGATTTATTTTTAAATTACTAATTGAACAATACTTATAACTTATTCAACTGGTAAGCGGTGTATACTCTGAAAAAGCGGCTTTGCCGACTGCAAACGAATGTCAACGCAAAATAAAATAGCACAAAAACAAAATTTGTAAATTACATATATGAATTGCATTTCTTTGGCGAAAATATAATTTATGTACAGAAATAATAAATTATAAACTACAAAAACGAATAAATTGTATAAAGTATACATATTAAATTATAAGAATGATGGAGGTAAGTGGCTACGCATAGTTGGATCATATAGAACACTAATATCTTGTGTCTACAGGACGAATTGGTACCCCGCTTACCAGTTGACAGCGAAATAATTGACTTTCAGAATTGGCACATAAGCTACCTCAAATCACATATACTTAAAAGTATCTGCAAAAAGGGTCAAGATAGCAATTGCATACAACATGAAGATGACTGCTGTGAGTTATGTACTTATCGCTATGCACTTGAACTGCCACACCTGCCCGATATGGTGTTCCACAAAAATAAGTTGTCACTAAAACACAAAGATGGCGCTCTTTTAGAATTTCTGCCGATGGACTCATTACGCTTGGTTGAAAATGGAAAACAGCCACTGCAAGTTGCCTGCGCTCAAGAGTGGAAAGAGAGCAGACCTGATTGTCATATGGAAGAAAAGTTTAAACCGTTCGATTGGACTTTTACTACCGACTACCAAGGTACCTTGAATGAAAAATTTCGAGTAGAAAATTCCGATATGTCACTGAATAAATTCAAGCTGATGCAGCGCGAGAAAATACTATTTTATCATGATCTCACCTTGTTTGAAGACGAACTGCATGACAATGGGATTTCATCATGTTCAGTGAAAATTGTAAGTGACCGATTGGGTTTGAAAGGCAACTATATTGAACTTGATTTGTTCTTTTTTCAGCGCGTTATGCCGTCGGGTTTCTTTATATTACTTAGACATTTCCTACGCGTCGATAACGTGCTCCTCAAAATTCACGATACGCGATTTCATTACGAGATCGAAAATAATTATATATTTAAGGAGTATACGAAGCGTGAAGCCACATACAGTGAGCTGAAAAATGTTAGTGCTCAAATCAATATATTTAAAATATGTACAAACACTAATTATATTGTTTTGCAGGTACCACCGCCATTTTTCACAGTACCCAATGAAATTGAGAACTACCTACCGATTAAGGAAAAGAAAGCTTATAAATTGTATTTCAAATAAAGAGTTTAAAATCTAAAAATACTATTATAAGCAATTTTAAAAATAAAGATACAAAACCACCCAGTTTAAAAGAAGATCCATAATTTATTCAATTAATAATTAAGCATCAAAAATATATAACTTTTAAAAAAAATTAAACAAATTTTCACTTTGATACATGTTCAAATCTACAGATCGATTTAGTAAAAACTGTTATTTTGATGGAAACGAAAAATGGGATGTTATTTTATTTTTTTTAAATAAATTAAAACACATTACGTGATAGCAATCGCTGTTTAATGTTACGGACTTCTAAGCTCCACCAAGAAGTGCCGTCAAGGCCTTTTTGTAGTCGCCAGAGGTCTCCGACTGCAAATGATTTGATTTAATTAAAAAAGATTGATCATCCTTTGCATTTGTAAATTAAAATGAAAATTCAGTTTTTGAATATTTTTTCTAACATTTACTTACCACAACAGCACTGTACAATGTACGATTGTAAATACGTTCGAATTCATCTTTTATATTCGCCAAGTCGATTTCAGAACGACTTACAATTATTCGAATTAGAGTGTCATCATTTGTTCCCATGCCTTTCATGGCATTGTAAAGTCGATTGGCGAAAAAGGCAGCTTGTGACTGAACGCATTCAACTGCATAAACACAAGTATATACAAATGTATTTGGTTATAATTAGCAAATAACATAATTATATAAAAATAGGTACATATATGAATCATCATCTATGTAGATTATTTACGAAATTTCACACTTACCAATGGCCAACATGGCATCATGTAAAGCTCCACTCATCTCATGCTTGATTGCTTGCTCAATAGTCTGTCCGGATAATTCTTTGTATTCATCGAAGATCAGCCGCAATTGTGCGAAACTACTGTGCGACATAATACGGTTGAAGACAGCTTCATCTGTACCCAGTTTGGCTTCCCCAGCCGCATATAAAGCTTCGGCATCTTCGTGTGCTGCAATTGCGTCGACGGTGCCTGTGGGATCACGTACTCCTGTGACAATGAGTGTCAACAAACGACGGAAAAAGCCAGAGGTTTCACTACACATTTGCTCCGCCAGCGGCCGATCATATTTCGCCTCATAAGCAGCAACAATTTCCTGCATTTCTTCATTCGTTTTGGTACATAGTATTTCGACGAGTGTTTCCTCATCGGTGCCCATGCCAGCCATGGCATTATGCAACTGCTTACACAAATATTCCACTGGCGGTGTCATTAAAGCTAAAATCACATCCTCAAATTTTCCACCCAATTCACTTTTCAAGTCTTTGATTAAGTCACGGCCAAACTCTGTCTCGAATTGTGCTTTGATTTGCTGTCTCTGGGCATTTGTACGAGCGGTAAGAATGTTAATGATTTCGTCCTCGTCCGTACCGAAACCTTTCATCGCGGCGCGTAATGCCTGTGCATCTGCTGAGGCGTCAAAAGGGGCTGCGGGAACAACTGTGGGCGTTGGCTAATTAGAGTAATAAGTACAAGTAATGTAAATGCCTTGTTAATCCATTCACTGTGCATTTTATGTTTATTTACTCACTATGTAAACCATTTTAATACTTTTAATGTCGTTGATTAGCTCAAATTATTGCAATTTTATAAAGATTGAAATATTCTGACGATTCAGTAAAATGTGTATGTATGTAAAATGTTTCTTTCGTTTCTTGTTTACTTCTGAAAATTCATTAGCAAACTAAAAACCTGCTACTTTCACTTAACTGCTCGCACGGTGAATGGAAGCTCTCGCATATTAAAAAGGTATGTGTGACCACATACATGCGTATGTAATTAAATGCATATGTATTGTTGTTTAAAGTGCATTGCAAATGAAATGATAATCGGCTGTTGGAGCTTTTTATATTTTCTCTTTTTGATGGGAATTAACAATTACACTAGTCAACAAAATTCATATTTCCTTTTATACTCATTGCACTAAATGGAAAATCTCAGTTTTGGTTCTTAGCCAAACCAAGAGTATTATGGTATCCTTTTGGATGACAGGGCTTGACGCTAATTCCAAGAGGGGCCTCCAAATGTTTAAAACGTTGTCTTACCAATACGGGACAAGTGCACAAAAAATTCTCCAGTGTTTCTTTGGTGCCTTGCTTGAAGGATCTTCTTTCTCTTTGATAAACTTAAGAGAGAAATTTTTATTTTAGTATAATGCGGATAAATATATTCAATATACAAATTTCAGTTATTTCGGTTGAGTTTAATGTAGTAATTTCAGATATTTTAATTTAACATAGTTCGTATGTGACCAACAGCCCAAGTTAATTTTATACCCAAAACGATTACAATTGGTTTATAATTTCACCAAATAATGAATTCTGATTTTACGGTTTCCTTTTTTGCAAATGAAATATTTCTCAGGACTTTATTTTTTTTAGGAACTCTCTTAGTTTTTAATGTTCGTCTAAACTCGTACTGAGCGGTTAACTTACCTTACGCGCACTCGTATATGTATACATTCGTAATAACTATATCCTCATTATCTAAACCCCAAAACAAATTATTACCATTATTACACTGGTTCGTTAAAAATTAACATTTTGTAAAGAAACAATTTTTTAGAATTTTCTGTCAAAACTGTGTTCAACTCCAGCTGAGAATGCAACGAATTCCAATTTTATACTTTTAAACAATTTTGTAGGTTTTATGCCAAGCACTCGGTTAGGCACCAGCTGTTATTAATATAATCAGTTGAATGTTAAAGCTCTCAGCCCTTTATCTCGTTAATTGAGAAGTCTACATATATTTAATTGAACATTGGTGTAAAACCTAACTACATACATATACTATGCATGTATCTATATAGACAAGCATTAGCCGCTACCGAACGCCAAATGATTTATCATTTTTAATATCAGAAATACAATCCAAGATTTTTCATTGCCTACCCACGATCACCGAGAAAGACCTCTTTCGGTAGTTTTACATTTTGATCTAACTGGAATTTAATTCTACAAAAATTTTGGTGGTAGCTAAATAATTAACACAAGTCATTTTGAATGAGTATTATATTGAAAAGTATCTTCCTGGAGTATTACCCCAGACCTTATATACACATATTTTTAATGATTTTGAAGAAGTCAGAACTAGTCAGATCTTATCAGACGTATTCTAACCAATGCTTCATATTATTTGATCAAATTTGGCTGATTTGTCTATAAAATTAAACTATAATATTAAAATTTCTTGAATTGAAAATAAATTTTTAATCCCAAATACTGGATTGAAAAACTCAAAAAAAAGGTTTAATTATAAGCTTGTAATTAAAAATTTAAAAAAAATTTTTTTGAATTTACATTTTTCTGAGTTGCCTAGTACGTGTTCTACCATTTTGGTCATTCTTTGAAATGGAAAGGTTATTTTTTAAAAAATATTAACATAGTTAATTTCTTTTTGTCTTATTTACATTTAATTGCTTTTACATATAGTGTTTCCGTTAGAAATATGTAAATATTCCTTTTTTTATCCATTTTTATTCCAGCTTTTAATTAAAAAAAAAATTTCGTTCTACAATTTTTAATTTAAAATGTATTTTCTTCATCCATGATGTTTGGGGATTTAAAATTTTCAATTCATTTTGTTGAAAGCTTTTATTTCAATCACTAAAATATATTTATTTATTTTGCTAATGACAACTATAGATGTTCTATTTTAAAATTCTTGTGTTTACAATAACTACAATAACAATTATTCTTTCAAATATATATTCAGGGTTTATTTATAAGAGTATTTATTATTGCAGCTTAAGCTCCACCAGAAGCGCAGCCAAGGCATTTTGTAGTCACCCGATGTTTCCCCTAATAAAAAATTAAATTTTAAATGTAAATGTTTTAAAATAGTATAGTAATACATAAATATGTGCACAGTATTTGTATGGTTTAGAAAATTAAAAAGATATTCGCATAGAATGTTAGCAATATTTTATAAACTATATTTGATGCATTGAAGGGTTAAGCACTGCATTCATACCTGTATTTTATTAATGCTTTAATTATTTTCGAAAATTTTATTTAGTTTTATAATTACTAAGTTAAACGAATATATGTGTGTATGTAGGCATTTTTGTTATTAAAAACATATTTTGTGTATGAAAAGAAAATCAAATGAGGTTAGAATATATTGCTTTAGTTATTATCGTTTTTGTTAAGTCACATATATAGAAAATAAAGTCAATATTCAATTCATTAATAATTTGTGCAATTCGAATACTTACTTCCTACATGACGGTACATTCATCAAACAACACAACAACAAAAATATGAAAAACGAAAGGAAAGGAAACACATTTATGTATTTTTGTTATTAAAGCTAATTACATAAGGCACACCATTACATGTATCTAGTTCCAGAATAGTGCTAGTAGGTTACAGGACCGCTAGGTAAATAGTTAGAAATGAAACACGCCGACTTGGGTGATGTAGCGGTTACAAATGTATACCACTAATATCTAAATACAGCAACCTCTTTTCGGACTAACCTTAAATTTTTTTTTTCAATGACCAGAATAATAGCAAACCTTAAAGCATATTTCGATTATAAAAAAGTTTATATCATTTATATTCTTCTGAGTCCGCTTAAAACTTTTAGGCCATGAGAGGCAAATTTTGGTGTAGAAAACGTGATAAGCCTGCGCAGGCGTATATTTATTATTGGCAGAAGTAGAATTCCCTTGAAATACATCATCCAGTATTTAATTAACTA